TGGATGAAGGCCTGGGAGATTCCCGGGCTGCGGTTCCCGCCATGGTACTGCTGACTGGTGACTTTCCCAGGCTGCCCCACCCCTGCAACTGCCTCTTTGGCCTCTCTTGTATGCAGCTGTAATCTTAATGCTTCTGTTCACTATTATGGAGGCTTCCTTTTAGGACCCTTGTTTTCCATATGCCATTATTTTGGTTGACTTTGTCTCTGAGGAGGAGGAAACTATATGTACTATTTCCTTTTTAGACAGGATATATGAGATGTTTTTGTTTTTTAAAGATAATTTATATCAGAAAAATATCATTCAGTATTTTAATGTTTGATTGATAGTTTGGCTGGGTATAGAACTCTAATCTGAAGTAATTTTCCTTTGTTTTGCAATGAAAGATTGTACATAGGAAGCAGGTACTCACTGGTGAACCATATCCTGGAGCACTTTCTTCAATGATTTCATTGGTGAGATCTTTTGCCATTCTGCTCTTTCATTTTGAATTTTTATATAGATTTTTTTGTATAGATAATTTTGTATTGATAATTTACATATATATTCTAACTCCCATTTTCTTTCTATAAATTGTCTTCTGCTGAAGCAGTTTTCTTCAATTTCATCAGATAGTTTTATTGAATTTTTTTATTTCTTATATTAACTTCTTTTTCATTTCCTGCCTATACTATTCTGTTCTGGTCTTAAAAGTGCAACTTTTTCCTCCATATAATAATAGGTTTTGAAGTTTTCTTCTTGATGCATAATGATTTGCTCAGTATTTTTGGCTTTTGCTTTCTGTCTTCCATGTTAAAGGCTTAGTTGGGTTTCTTTTTCTGGGCTTACTGCATAATATGATGTGGTAGATAAATGTCAATTGAAATATCTAAATTTAGATAGATTTAAACTTTTGTTGTTGCTGGGGTTGGAATCCAACACCTTGTAAAAGCTACACAAGCCCTCTTACAAAACTACATTGCTGACCCTTGAACTATCATTTTAATTGGGGAATCTTATTTTCAGACCTTTGCTATGTTTATGGAAAGCTCCTGTTCACTGGACTGTGTTTGATAAGGGCATCTAGACTTAATGAGATGTGGAGAAGTGAGGTGTTTTCAGTTTGTATCTTAATTTTTTTAAAAATTACAAGTTTATTCTGTTTTGTAGGGTGGATCATGCATTTCTTTGCATGTGGAGGTCATAGAAATACTTGAGGGAATTGATTCTCACCTTCTACTATGTGGGTCCCAGGGTTTAAACACAGGTTGTCAAGCTTGGTGGCCAAAGACCCCCCCCCCCCAAGTTGCCTCCAAGGAGACGAGGGGGGAGATGCATGCCTTTGGAGTTGCAGTTCCAGAAAGCAAGCAGACTGAGCTGTGGAGTTCTGTAATTGTTGCAAGGGAGGGTCAGGGTGTCCAGAAAAGGGCAAGCAAGTTTAGGAATTGGCCAGTAATCTAAGAAGTAAAACAGAGAAAAGAAAAAGTTACCCTTTTTGAGGTAGAACCCAGAAAAGCTAGTGAAGATCTAGTTTGTACCTTAGTATCCTTTTATGTTCCTTTCACCCCCCCCCAGATATGACATTAACAATAATTTGTGTAGTGTGCCATAACTAAGTAAATGGAACAGTCTACCAAAACACAGTAAGACTTTAAGTAGTTTTCAATAATTTACACATGCATTGTTATTCCACTAATGTGGTAAACAAAAAAATACAGTAGTTGACTCAAGTGAATTCTTTTAATTCCCTCCCTCATTACTACTTTTGTAATTCTTGGCAAATGATTATATTCTCTGGACATAAAAGGTGGTGAGTGTAACACTTATTCTCAGGGATGTCTAGACTCTGACATTGCGACATGACTTTATCATTTACAAATGCATTAGACTGGCATTCCGAGGCATCCTGGGAGCGTAGGATATGGCTGCTTCATTGTAATGATGATTGAGAAGAATGTTCCAAAGCATGCTAGTTTCTCATTGGAGGAGATTAAATGTGAGATTATCATAGAACTATTTACCTAATGTTAAAATGTTTTTTTCCAAATCATTTATTTTTTTTTCAAATAAATGATGTGGCTTCTTATAAATGATCTTATCTAAAATTTCCTAAAAGGTAATTTATGACATTAAGTTATATCTGTGTTGGACTTAGAAATATTAACAGAATTTTAAAACAAATAATTAAGTTATATGTGGAAATGTTATAATGAAATCTGTTACATTATATTCTAATTAAGAAACAAAACCAGCCTGGAAGATGGCTCAGGGTGCTGCACAAGCCTGACCTGAGTTCTGTCCCTGAAATTCACTGTGGAAGGAGAGAACCAACTCCTGCCATGTTGTCCTCTGCTGTCTGAGCAGTGTGCATGTGTGTTCCCATATGTGCATTCTGTGTGTGTGTGTGTGTGTGTGTGTGTGTGTGCGCGTGTGTGCACACATGTAATAATAATAATAAGGTTGAAACAAAAGCAAACAATCTACTTCTTTAGCTGTTTCAGAGCTCAGCTATTGTGTGCAAACAGCAGTCCCCGTCAAACCCCTAAAAACTGGAATGTACTCTACAAAAGGCATCTTTACTACATTGGACTCTGAACTGCAGTCTTGTAGGAGAAAATTAGGGAGAAAAGAGACCCTACCAGAAAATGCACACTTTCCTGAGATTTCCTGAGTGTCAGAAACAAAATAATGAGAATCTCAACTTACTGTCTGTTGAGAGAGTTTTATACTATTAAACAGAATGGGAGACGAGCAGATGCAGTTTCTAATCTTACATGATCTAGAAGAGAGAAGTATTGAAGTGTGGTGAATGCAGCAAAGATAGGAATGGAAGATCTTGAGAGCAGTTATTCCAGGGGTAGATGATGGACATAGTAAGGAGAAAGCGGGTTAAGGAGAGGACTGTGAGTGATAGTTAATGAATGGTGGGTGTTCTGGCCCATGCCTCTTCTTCCAGGACTTTGGAAGGCTGAGGCAGGAGGAATGACATAAATTTAAGGCTAATCTAGGCCTAAAGAGTGGGACTCTGTCTCAAGCAAACATAAACGTGAATCCAGTCTAGAATTTATCTGGTGAACGAGGCTGTTTTTTTGAGACACATAATGAAAGATGTGGACAGTGACACCAGTTACTGTAACAGCCTTCATTTTCCTTTCCTGTTTTTATCCGACCAAGAGATCCAAGGTCTGAAAGGGTTGGGTGAAGCTCTACACATTGAAGCTGAGTGTAGTCTGAGTTATATTTCATTCAGCTTTTATTAATTTTTAACTGTTATTTAATCTCTGAGCCTGTTTTAGTTATCACAAATTGGTGATAAAACCTGCCATTAGGAGCAGAGTAACAATTGAGAAAGCATCTAAAATTTACCAGATAGCTATACTTTGGTTATTTGTAATGCCTGACTCCATTAGACTTACATCCCAGTTTTACAGTAATCATGTCTATTCCAAACATTTCAGTTTACTAACATCTTGCTTTTACTGAATAGATGAAGCCACCCTCAGCCACAATACCCTAAGAGATGTTATGGCTCGGCCAGGTATGGTGGCACAAACACCTATAATCCTAGCATTCTAGGGATAGGTTCAGGAGGATTGCAAGTCTGAGGGCAGCTTGAGCATACAGGGAATAGAGTTTTGGTTACATAGTAGGACACTGTCTCAAAAACTACAAAACCAAACAATCTTGGCTCGGCCTGGGAGGAGGGGACTAGACCTACCTGGACTGAGTCTACCAGGTTGACCTCAGTCTGTGGGGAAGGCTTTGCCCTGGAGGAGATGGGAATGGGGGGGGGGGGTTGGGGGGAAGGTGAGGGGGACGGGAGGGGGGAGAACAAGGGAATCTGTGGCTGATATGTAGAACTGAATTGTATTGCAAAATAAATTAAATAAATAAATAAATAAACTACAAAACAAGGGTTGGCGGTGTATTTCAGTGGTATGGAGCACTTCCTTAGCATACTGAAGGCCCAAGCTTGAGCCCCAGGCTGTAATTTGATATAGCTTGGATCATGTGTAATGTTTCTCTTGTTTTCTGCACTTAAGGCAGTTTTCAAAGATATTATCCAGTCCATCTTATGGAAAATTGGATAAAGACTTCTTTCAAGGCCGAGTAATTAGAAGAATTTTATGGAATATTTCAAATCTATGGAGAAATAGAATGAGAGAATGAACCTCATGATTTGTGGTCTCATGAGGCCAGCTGTCCTCTAGTTGTATTTCTGTCACCTCTCTTCTACCCTTAAAGGGTTGTAATGCGTACCAGCATTTAGACAGACAGCACAGGAAACTAACTCGAGGACTGTATCCAAAGAATGTCAGAAGCTAACTCCATGGCTGATGGGGACGGAAGCAGAAGAGGTCCTTTGTATGCCTGGCTCTGTCCTGCTTTCCTGCCTTCCGCCTGTTCTGCTGCTGCTGCTGCTGCTGCAGCCGGAGTGTCCGGAGTGTCCCCACTCCTGCTGCCCGGGTCTCAGAGTTGGCTGAGTCCCTCTTCCAGACTGGCTCGTGCCCTTGGGTCCTCTCTTTGTCCTTCCCAGAGAATCTACATTCTTCATGGACTTTTTCCTAGTGTTAAAGTGATGAGTTCTGTCACCTGAGAACGTATTTGTGACACTTGGACTACAAAAAGAAGAAATGTTTGATTTTATGAGAAATTACTAAATTAACCTTTGTTGCCACCTTAGTTTTAAGACACTATTGTTAAAATTGAAAAATGTGATTGTAAACTCTAACCATTCTGCTGGATTGAGCACTTCTGAAGCTTAGATTCTGTGGGGAAATTTTTAATTAGCTTTTAAAATTAAAATTAACTTGATCAAATGAATATAAGATTAAACAAATTTGACACTCTTCTTTTGATGGATGTATTATATTAAAGGTAAAAAAGAAAAAGTAAGAAAATAAATAAGGGTCTTGAGCTGGGTTTGAGGGGTTTGACTTTCCTTCCCCTTTTTTTCTGGACTGAAATGGAGGCTTTCTTTCAGGCGAATTCCCTAGTGTTTGCTCTGTGTGATCTGGCTCTATCTCTGTTACTGCTAATACGTGGCATGGATTTCAAGTTGTTTGGATCGGAATGTGCCCAAACTGTTGCAAGACCGGATTCACAGGCATTTTGTTGCAAAACTGGCTTGTTGCCTTCTGTTTTCTTTTTCTATGTGCTAAGTAGCTGCATTGTTTGTTGCAGTATATGCATTAGCTGTTTGTGTTCAGTTTCCTGCAGGCTGACAAAGTGGGAGGGGCTTTCTTTGCTACATGGCTGAGTTTTCACTGTGTGAGTTCTTGAGTGCACATTGCAGCCATCTTAATTACACTTTTGTGCAACTGAGACTGTGCAGCTGTCTCAAAATGGCTGCTAACCCAATCTGTGAGGCTGCTTAGCAGCAACTATGCAGTGAAGAGACTTGTCACATGCACCAGGAGCTGAGGTAAGAACCAGTAAGCTTTTATCTTTACACATTACAATTAGAAAACATTTGAATATAACCAGCTTTGTATAGGAAAGAGAATTTGCTTGTGAAGAAGTTGAAATGTTTTCTAAGAGCTGTAAACCTATATTACAGAAACAGTATATTAGAATGGTGAGGTCAAAGGTTAAATTCCTGTGATTTCTCACCATTTTGTTGTCCTCGCCAGAACATTGGATCACCACAGTAGTGCTTTTCTAACACAGGAGTAACTTAATACTTCTTGTGTATTGGATACTTAATTCATTAGATATTTGCAGAAATTCAAACAATATATTAATTGAGTATTTTTTAAGAAGTCATAAATCAGCTTTGTTTGGAAAGAATATGATTTTCTGCTTTTAAAAAATGAGTTATTGTTTGGTAGCTTTATAAAAAGAATGCGAATTTGCTATATAAATCATAGAAAAAATATTGTCTTTCCATTTTCTATTATATGCTTCAGTGCTTTCTCACATGTTGCCTTTTTTATTTTATAATTAATATATATATATTTATAGTGTCTCACTTTTTTCTTATATTTTGTTTGAATTGACATTGGAATTAAGATTTTAAATTTCAGAGTAATTTTACATATACACCTCATACCTTTTTCTTTTTAAAATTTAATGCAGACTGATAACTAGAGAACTGGAATAAATAATGTTTTATTAACTGACATTATTATGTACATTTAAAACTTAACATTTAAAGGGATTGTAAATTTAAAGAAGGTTTTTTATCATTATAAAGCAGAAATGTTTGCTGAACTACTGTAGCATACAATTTCATGGTTACCTAGCAAGTTAGGAGAATAATTTTTTCTTTCTTTTTCGAGACATGGTCTCAGTGTGGTCCGGTGTTGCCTCTAGCTTGCTAAATAGCTAGGGCTTGCCTTGGGCTCCTGACCTCCAGCCTCTGCCCCCTCCAGTGCTAGGCTCACAGGCATACATGCTGCCATGTATTCCCAAAAGATTGAATGGAATTTAATCACATCATTCAGGTAGGAGAATAATTACATTTTAAGCGGCTCTTAAGTTGTTAGTAGTTACTAAATTATTTTCTGAATGGTATGGTATACTCCTGTAACTGTGACAATAGAATATTTTAAATATATTCTTGACTAATACAATAGAGAACAGTTAGTTCTGAATATTCTGAATAGAGGGGCTTTTATTTTCCATTTTTTAAGTTTTTACTCTTTTTGACAACCCCCCCCCCCCCCCCACACACACACACATTGACTTTTTTAAAAAGGATCTCGTGATACGAGCTGGCCTTTGAACATTTGTTATGTAGCTTGGGCCAGCCTTGAACTTGGAATCCTCCTGCTTCAGCCCCCCAGAATCATAGGCAAGTACCACCATGTCTGGCCCTAGAATAACTTTTAAAACAGCAAATTAAATTTTTGCAAATTAAATTCTTAGGGGAGGCCCCAACACATTAAAAGGTTACACATTGAGTTTTATTTTATACTTATTTTATAGTATGGATTTATAAAATTTACTTGTCATAATTGTATTTAATACATAAGCTATTATCTATAACAAAACTTTGAAATGAGATCACATGGGACCTTGAGAAGTTTATCTTAGTGTCCAGATCTAGCTCATGTATTTGTAGAACTCAGCCTCTACTGCACTATGGGATTCTGTTTGAAATGTATCCTTGAATGCATCTACCTTTTTTCCTTTTTTGATTTTCTTAAAGGTTTAGACTAGAACATTAGATCTGCTACTTAATAGTTGAAAATTGCTGCCCTGTCACAAACTTAAATTTGTACCTCCTCTTGGTAATTTTTTTTTTTTTTTTGGTTTTTCGAGACAGGGTTTCTCTGTGTAGCTTTGCGCCTCTCCTGGAACTCACTTGGTAGCCCAGGCTGGCCTCGAACTCACAGAGATCCGCCTGGCTCTGCCTCCGGAGTGCTGGGATTAAAGGCGTGCGCCACCACCGCCCGGCCATATTTTTTTAAAAAATAAAATAGGTAGCTTTTTTTTTTGTAATCTAATCTCAACTAAAATGATGACTCATCATAATTTGAATAATTTATATAAATTATCCAGTCATGTGAATTTGCCCCAACAACAGAAACAAGAAAAATTGGTATGTGTTGGAGAGTCTGCTCCTCCTTTGTGTAAGGTCGTGCTCAGCAGCATGACGGGAGAATGAACTGCTCCAGCCTCGGTCACTCCTCCTCCTGTCTGAGTAGAAGTTCAGTGTCTTGGTGGAAGGATGGGGGGAGGGGAGAGTACAGTACTTAAATGTAGGTTTGAAAAAAATTGTAGAAGATAGCCACTTGGTCTTTAATGTGGAGGAAAACTGATTAGGTTGAAATTATTGAGCAGTTTATGTTGGCATTCACATTTTTTGCCTTCTGTTGCTGAGTGTAGAATTTACTCTCATACTTACCAGTTTTGCATGGGGAAATTCTAAATTCTGTCGTTACTTGGGCTATTATTGCTAATTTTTTTTGTTGCCGTTTTCCATTTTTATAGCTTATAAACATAAAGAGTTTGGATTATTTTGGGTTGGTGGCAGTTTTCAAATTTTCTGTGATGAGTTACAGATTAGACATTATGCTGGATAATTGGGGGCATGATACATATTCTGGGAACTGAATTCTTTTCTTTTGGTTTTTTGAGACAGGGTTTCTTTGTATGTAGCCCTGGCTGTCCTGGAATTCACTCTATAGACCAGACTGGCCTCGAACTCACGGTGATCCACCTGCCTCTGCCTCCCAAGTGCTGGGATTAAAGGCGTGCGCCACCACCGCCTGGCTGGGAACTGATTTCTTGAGGCCATATATTATCTATTCTTTTTTCTCCTCCTTATTGTTTACCCCTTTTCATAAGCTGTTTCTAAAAAATTAGTATAATTCTCAAAAGGAAATGTCAGGGTGGTAGAAAGTTCATTGACTCAAGATTCCACACTTAAATATAAGTACCCTTTTGGCTTTCTTTTTCTGATCTAACTTGCTCACTCTGTTTCTTTAGTTTATTATTCTCAAATGTCACACACCTTGTCTGTCATGTGTCACTAGATCAGCGTATCTTAGGAAAGGATGGGGAATTTCTTATATTTTCTTATATAATCCGTGATGCAGTACATTTGTAAGTAAAGTCTGAATCGAATGTTGTTATTACAGAATTGGAAGTGTAGGATAAATGGTTCAGTTGTAGTCTGGCTGAGTCTTCCAAATATATTGTAAGAAAAATAGCTCTCCAAAAGATGACTTGAATTCAGGGCCTAGTGTTTGCTGTGCTTCAGGTGCAAAGGAGGACCTTAGGAACAGTTTTCTTTCAGTGGCCACAGTGACAGCTGTTAGACTTATTTTTATCCGTGAACTACTGCCCATTTTTCTAGTGAACATCTAACATGAAATTTTACTAAAAGTCCACGTCTTGCCTCTTAAATGTTAGATGGGGTAATGGTATGCCTGTATTTCTTCCCAGTAATATACTTTGAGTAGACAGGTCTCTCAGACACTCCATCCTCTTCATTATTTATTATTTTGCTTCTCCCAGGAGTTCCCTTATAATCCTTTTTGTACTCAATTAGTGGGAGTGTTGATAGCTTAAAATATCTAAAATACAGTTTCTAACACAGAAGAAAATAAACATAAATAAAATTTAGCGTACTCTACCCAACCTAGGGAGACCTAACATATGTAAAAGAAGTGTATTCTTTACAAAATGTGATACCTTTGATAGCATGTTTTTTCTAATTAAAATTTTTTGAGGTTTATTTTTATTTAATGTGTATGGGTGTTTTGCCTACGTGTATGTCTGTACATCGTATGTGTGCAGTGCTCACAGATGCCAGAAGAGGACATTGTTTCCCCTGGACCTGGAGTTAAAGATGGTTGTTAGCTGCCATGTGGGTGCTAGGAGTTGACCCTGGGTCCTCTGGAAGAGCAGCCAGTGCTCTTAACCACTGAGCCATCTCTCCAATCTCTGTTCTTTTTTTCCCCCAGTGTTAGAGTACTGTGGTACCTAATAGATTTAGTGTCACCAGCTTAAGAGTCAGAGGGAGAAGATTAAAATACTCAACTAGAAATGTATAAAGGGACCTTGAGGTTTTCTTCTGTTTGTTAATGGTGTCACTTATGTTAAAGACATCATCGGCGCCAACCAGTCTTGGTGGCATAGAGTAAGAAAACATTAAATTGATATACCACTTGCTGCACAAAAGTATAAAGTAACATTTTGTCAAAAGTTTCTACCAAATATTGAACAATTTTAACACTTTATGAGTTTTCTAGTAGGAAGTTTTCTTAGTTGAAAATATTTTCTGAGCCGGGCGGTGGTGGCGCACGCCTTTAATCCCAGCACTCCGGAGGCAGAGCCAGGCGGATCTCTGTGAGTTCGAGGCCAGCCTGGGCTACCAAGTGAGTTCCAGGAGAGGCGCAAAGCTACACAGAAAAACCCTGTCTCGAAAAACCAAAAAAAAAAAAAAAAGAAAATATTTTCTGATAAAATACTTTTCTTGCACAGATAATATTGGAAAGCCAATATAAACTTAACTTTGAAAATGCCTCTCTTTACATTTATTAACAGTACTGCGTCAGCTGTGAAAATTGATTTGCTGGTGCATGAACTGGTAAATTACCTTTCTGGCTGGTGAGAATTTGAATACAGGTTTTCCAGAATGTCAGTCCAGCTTTATTTTTTTTGGAGGGGGGATTGATCTTCTTACTGTGTAGCCCAGGCTGGTCCAAACTCTTCCTGCCTCAACCTGCTGAGAGCTGGATTACAGGCATATGCCACCATGCCTAGCAGCTTCTCGACATTCATAAAATGACAGTTAACTCAAGGAAAATACTCTCTTGGAACCAGATTTCAAGCGAAAAGTGAAACTAGTAAAGAAGGAAAAGGTGGCTGACTTGTACAGGAGATAGACTTCCCTGCTTTTCTCTATTCCCACACTGCCCAAAGAAAGTGACTGGGGAGAAAACAGAACTACTGTTCAGATAACCTAAATAG